TCAAAGATATCAAGCAAAGTCCAAGCACGAGGATAGGAACCAAGGCGGATGCAAGATCACAAAGAAACGAGCTCACAGAGGTGACCGGACGCTGGGGGAAAGCAACCGGACGCTCCGATCAAGAGGCTCGGCAACAAGCGTCAGCAGCAGCGACCGGACGCTGGACCGGACGCTGGCGGCAAATCGGCCGGACACAGGACAGCAGCGTCTGATTGAGTACAGAAAGGTTCCAGACCGACGGATTTGCGACCGGACGCGTCCGGTGGCATGTGACCAGACGCTGGCAGCGTCCGATCAGTTGATTGCTGCTCTAACGGTCGGGACGACCGGACGCATCCGGTCAGGATGTGATCAGCGTCCGGTCAGTAGCAGAAAAGCAGGATTTCGTCTCCAACGGCTACTTTCTCAGTAGGGCTTATAAATAGACCCCCCCAACCGGCCATTTGAATAGGGTGGAGCTGAGGAAACATATCAAGGGTGTTGATACACCATTTTAGTGATCTCCACTTGCATAGTGCTTAGTGTTTCATTAGGTGATTAGTGTAGGTGCTTTGCGAAGTGCTTAGGTTGATTAGACCACCGCTTATGCGCTTGCTCTAGGTTTAGGCCTAGTGTTTAGTGAGGTTTGCATAGCTCTTACCACTCGGTGCTTGCGCGCACCATTGTTGTACATCGGAGGGGCTTGTAGTCTTGCGAGATCACACCAACCGCATTTGTGGTGTGGGCCATTGCCAGTGTCCGGAGGGAACAAGGCCCTGCAAGCTTTCGACCGGAAGCTTGATAGTGAAGACGGCGGGGAGCATCCGGGAGAGGCTTGCCGGAAGGCACGTCAGAGACCCACTTGCGCGTGGGGAAGGCCCGAGGCTATCCACGGAGTTGCCCGACCGGGAGCTTGGCCCTTGCGAGGGATTCCTTACGAGGGGCTCCAACGAGGACTAGGAGGAAGCTTGCGTGCTTCTCGATACCTCAGTAAAAATACCGGAGTCGTCGATGGGAGTTTGCATATCTCTACCTTGCTCTTTATCTTCCGCATTTACATTGATTGTATTGCTCCTTTTGCGGTAGAGATAGCAAGACACTAGCAAAACCATTGTTGCACATTTAGATAGTTTATCTTTTGCATAGGTTTTGCTAAGGTTAGAAAAAGAGACCATAGTTTGCTAGAGTTAGAATTTTAAGTTGCCTAATTCACCCCCCCCCCCTCTTAGGTGTCACGGTCCACTTCATTACTCTTGGTGGTTGCCGCCACCTAGAGATGGCTGGGAGCAGTTTGAGGTCATTGAGGAAGATTGGTGATTGTTCTTTGCCTCCAACCGATTGATATTGTGAGAGAGGTTTTGATCCCAACTCGCGAAGTGCAAAGGGATATTCTAGTGAATTGCTAGTGGTTGCTTGTTGGAGTGCACCATTTGAGTGATTCTTGGCATCCTTGGTGGGTCTAGCTTGTCACGCTAGTTAGCTCACGAACCATCAAGTAGGGACTCGCCACAACGAGATTGTAGGTTGCCGGCAAGCAACAAAACCTCAGAGATAATCTTGTGTCATCACTTGCCTTGATTGGTTTGCTCATTACACACTTGTTTATTACATTGCTCATACTTGTTTGAGTGTGTGGTTGTTTGCCTTAAGCTGGAGTAGCTTAGTTAATAGTAGTAGTGACTAGTTGTAGTTGCTCTCTTTAGTAGCTCTCTTAGGGTTGCTCTTTGTTAGTGTAGCTTGTTTGGTGTTGTGATATAGACTAGAAACCAAGCTACTAGAATTGTGCTGGGGCTTGCATTGGGTGAAATAGAGCTAGAGCAAGTAGTTACTACTTACTAGTAGGGCTTCATATTGTATTAATCAACCTAGCTTTGCCCTAGTGTTTGTGGTTTGAAGAGAAAATTTTTACAGGCTATTCACCTAGCTCCTCTCTAGCCATCTAGTCCTTTTAGTGGCCCCTGTCAGTGGGTGCCACTTACATCCATAAACTTTAAAAATACATTTATGGATTCCTAAACTTATTAATTTGTACACCTCAGATACATATAGTGTCATGTGCATTCCTTGCTAACGTGTCATGCCAACATGTCATGCATTATTGCATTTAACCGTTCCCCTTCTCTCTTATCTTAGGAATGGATCCTGCCCTTCCCTTACCACTTGTTGTCTCTTCATTCAACAACAATGATGCGGCCATGACGTCCTCACCCTCCTCGCTCCTCGGTCACCTTCTACCCGCCTCTCTTGCTTGCCACCACTCCCAGTGTGAGTGTGGGAGGAGGAGCGACAGTTGTGGTGGTTCTTGCCCAAGAGACGCGACAGGAGTGTGAGTGGCAGCGGGCGCAGGAGCAACCACAGTGCGAGGGGTGGCGTGCGTGACAGCATTTTAGCTAGTGTGCTGTTGTTTCCCATGTGCGGTGGCGGGGAGCTTGTCGTCCTCATGGCCATGTGTGTGCCCACTATGCTGTCCCAACTACATGCGTTGCCCCTGAAGGGGTGGTCGAGAGGGAGGAGTCACGCGAGAATTAAGGAATCCATTCTTGAAAGAAGAGAGGAAGGGAGGTGTTAAATAAAAAAAATTCATGCCACAGTAGCTTGACAACTCAGCAAGGAATGCACGCGTGATTGGTATAGACCTACGGTGTACAACTTAACAAATTTAGAGACTTAGAAATGTATTTTCAAAGTTCATTAACCTAAGTGACATCTCTTGACAAGTTCAAGGGCTCCTCTTGCATTTAACTCAAAGCTATTTATTTAGAAATACCAAAACATCTTACAATTTAGAATGGACACTACTGCAAAAATGATTTCCAAAGTCCACCAAAACTGGTTTTTAGGAGCGGTTTTTAAAACTGACATTATGCCATTGATTGTAAAAGAGATGCGGCCATTTTAGTGTCAAGTTTTTAATTACCCATGCAAAACTTATTTGTAGGGGCGGTTTTGATAAGAGGACCGGCTTTGTAAATTAAATTTCTAACCTGGTGTAACTGCAAAATTTTGGAGAGGGCCCTATTTGTGTGTGGTCTTTTTCATTTATGAAACCAATTAATACATTCTCTTCCTAAGTCCAAAATTAATCTCATGGAAATTGAATATGCTCCCATAGAGATGTCTATATGGGTGTGTTTGGTTGCCAAATGAGAGTGGCATTTGCATCGTATATTTGGATAAGGGGATGCAGGCTGAGTGGAACTGTATTTCAGAGAGAGGTGTTTGGTTAGGTTGCATGAGCGGATAAAAAAATCTAGAAAGCTGTTTGGTTACATGTATGAGCAGATGCAACCTTTATGAGCTGTGAAACTGACACATGAACCCCGTACCCATCCCTGCATCCACCAGGACTGCCTAGCCAATGAAGCTCGATTTGGGCTGCTCTCCAGAGCTAGGATCCCACCATATATTGCATGAACGGAACAGGGTTGGAACATTGGAAACAGGGATCCAAACACACTTCTTTTGGAGCATATATGGCTGAGCACATGCATGAATGGTGGGAGATGGGTAACAAAACACACCCACGAAGGATAGCATCCACCAGGTATAGGATTCCACGGGGCTATTGACTTCATTGTAAACATACATGATGATAAGTGCCTATTCCTAAATGGCTTGACTATAATTTTTAACAGAACAACTGTGAGTGTTGTCCAACGTAATAATTCATTCCTTTTCTTACCACTGTTAGAATGAGTATATGGCTTCAACGAGAAAATCAAGAGCTAGCCAGCCGAAGTTTGGAGCATTGCATTCATTTTATAGAAGATATACTACATTTTGGATTTGGATGGTGGGCAGGATGATTATTATGGTTGCGAATTTTTCCTCCTTCATGTTCCATTACTATCAATATAATATATATACTCATCTCCATTGATGCTAAAACTGTAAAATAGTTAATGACCAGCATGCTGAAGCTAGAGTATTCATACCAAGGATTTCCACATCCCCTTCAAGTGACATTTCGTTGCCATTCAAGTTTAAACAGAAACAATTCCTAGTAAGGCTAAGTTTTGCAATAACCATAAATAAAACCCATGATAAGACCATACAGACATAGGTGTTTATCTCCCTGAACCAGTTTTTTTCTCATTGTCAAGGGGTGTTTTCACGCAAGAGTACATGGGTTTTGGTTGGAACAAATAAATATACTGACCCCACTAAAAGGATGAAAAAATATTGTTACATAGATGTACTAGAGTTGTGACATAATGTATGTTCAATAATTTTATTTGCACTCATTTTAGATTTATTTATGTACTACCAAACATTATATGTTTATGATATACTCCCTCTGTTCTGTACAGTGTATTTTAGAAATTTTAAGACAAATTAAGAGAGAACATAAAAGACACATGTATCTTCGTTTTATTTCCACGTTGATGATAGTGTCTCATTAGAAAATAAAATGCGAACACCTATGCCAAGTCGAGGACTTGAACCCAGGTGAACAAGTTCCACCGTTAGGAATCTAACCACAATCTTAATTTATTTCTATAATATACATATGATGTTTTTTATATAACCATAAATACATATGTGTCGCACGGCATAATAATCAAAGTGTTACCGAATTGTTGACAGTTTTACAAAGCCTATTAATATTAATCTCTACTATAATAGACCAGTCGAAATTATACTGGCGCCGTTCGCTGGTCTGGTTTTTTCAGACCAACCGGCTGCTCCTCACAAAACATTGTTTATCAACCAGCTGCTACAGTGTTTCTCTCTCACAAAACCAGTTAGTTTCAGTCAAGTTTCAGACCAGCAAACGGGGCGACTAGGTCCCCCCACGAAAATATCCCCCGCTGAGAGCCTCCAACCATTACGCACCCAGAAAAATACACACACGAATTCAGCACTATTAAAATCAAGGGTTAATCAAACACTTTAACCAAATCTGATGGCCACAATTCAACGTGGGATGTCACGCTTCTCACCCCGCATTCTCACCCCGCACCCTGCTCGCACTTCAACGCGGTGTCCGCCGTTCATCGCTCCATCAAAACCAATCATCGTCACCGAAAAAAAACCTGGCCGCCACTGCGGAAACCTTCCAATCGCGAAAAAACCGACGTTAGAAACCTTCTTGGCCGCCACCGCGGAAACCTTCCGATCGCCCTTCGCGGAGGCGCTTCGCCCCGCACCCGCACAGCGCGATGCTCGAGCGGCGAGGGTTCGATTCCCATCCCCGCGCCCCCATTTTCTTCTCTTCCGCGAAAATAGAAACATCGGGTCGCCTCCGTCGATGCCTCCGGCTCCGCCTCGCGCGTGGGATCCTTCCCGCCGTGGGGTGCCGCGACCCCTCCCGCCGCGGGCTTGGCTGCGCGCCACCGGCACCCGCAGCCTCCCCCACCGCCGCGGAGTCGCGCCCCCACCACCACCGGCGATGACACTGCCTTCTTCCCAACCAGCATCTCCGCTCCCTTCCACCCACCAAAGGCAGGCATCACCCCCAGCAGCGGCGGTGCCCGTTCCTCACCGGCCACGGCCCCCCTTCCCCCGACATATGTGGCAACGGCAGTGGCGCTCCCTTCATCACCAGCGGTGGCGTCCCCGACGGCGAATCCGTGCGGGGAGCTTGGCACAAGATCCGTTAGGAGAGGAACGGTCCCCCTCTGCGTGCGTCCATGGTGACCTTGGCGGCAGCGGCGTTGCCCTCTGGCATGCTGGCAGTGGATCCACGAAGGATGGTGTGCCCTCCCGACATGCATGAACTGTGGCCTCGGCATTGGATGTGTGACGATGAAGCTTCTTCCTCGAGCAGTGCTACATCGATCCACAAAGCAGGTATGACAGAGAGAAACCACACTATATATCCAGTTGATATCGCCATCCATTAATTTATTCGAGTTCCAATTTTCTATGTTATTGGCAAATCCAAAAATCAATGCTTCATTCTAGGACAAATACCCAGGTTTTGTGATGTTTTTAGGTGGGGATTAGATCCGCGCCATTCTTGTTTTTGGATTTGTTTTCCTATATGTACTGATTCATGTTAAGTCGTGTGATGGAATCAAGGCTTCATACTTAGTCATGTGTTCATGTCTATCTTGTTGGAGTATCGATTATAAATTTGTTAGATGCAAATAAAGCTTTCTGGAACAATTCAGTAGAAATAGGCACTGTCAGTATGCCAGCAAATCAGTTTCCCTCTTGTGTAAATTGTATTATGTTTTAGTATATTCCATTTTAATCTTTTCAGATTGCAACAAGTAAAGCTTAGATGGGAGATGGTGAATTTCAGGGTTGGTTTGACAGCAAATCAGTTTCCTTTTTTATCCACCAGGATGCTTATGAGATCAATATACCATGGTACCATTTTTGACAACCTAATTTGTTTTCAGATTATATCGTTTGGTTTATTTTTTTTACCTTTGTTCTTCCGCATAGATCTGGATTGATTTGGCCCTGCTTGGAACATGTTTTCTGTCACTGGTACCTTTCGAAGGTATGCTTTATCAACTAGAACTACTATGTCGCTGGTGCCTTTTGTGTTCCTCAGATCTGGATCAATTTGGGTCATTATATATGTTGTGGAGCTCATGAGGCTGGATGGGCTGAGCTTGGTGTAGACTGACATTCACTAGAAGCTGTCGCTATCGTCGTTCAACCTTGACCAGCTGATAACACTTCGCTTCGAACAACATGTTGCAGACTGACACACTCCAGAAATCTAAAGACGCTCGCAAGACATTTAGGGAGGATAGTATGCTTTGTAATACTGGTCTTTGTCTCCAGAGGCAACGTGCATGTGCGGGGCAAATATAAAAGCACATGATCAAATATAAATTATGTTCCAGGAAGAACCGAAGACTACAATGTGTTCAACTTCCACCCTGACAACTCTCCCTGCTATGGTTTTGAGGAAATCCTTGTTTACTTCATGCCTATATGTGTTGCAGATCCTGTAAGCTTCAAATTCACAAACGGTTATCCATTTCCACCCTTTTCTTGCTAAATGTTTGATCTCAACACCTTGTTGGACCATATACTTCATATTTTAAGTGGTGTTTAGCCTTGCCATGAAAATGCTCTATATCTTCAGTACTAGATTCATAAGTTAACTTTGGACTTAATGTGGCCTCATAGCGTTAGCACGGGCAGTATTCTGGTTACATGCTCTAGGACTCTTGCTTTTCTTCCTTTTTTCCCACAAGATTTTGTTATGGTTACATGCTCCTTCTGTTTGGTCCTTGCAGTTGGCTGAGACAAGTGTATTTTCACCTTCCTGCTACTCTACATGCTATTTTGTATAAAACGTGTGTGCTCGAGAAGTGACCAAAGATCCAAAACATATACAAACCTGTTGAAATGTTTTTTCATGGAAATCTAGTAAGTTAAAGCCCCTTTGCTTTCGTATCGGCATTTCCATACTCCATATTAAACTTTGTTTAATTTAGAATTCAGGATGCACACAAGTGACATGACAGCCAATTTAGATTTTGCAATTTTGGACCTAACTTTTTGCCTTCAGCTGGTTCTCCACTCCTTGATGTCTCCTATTTTCTTAAATATCACCGAGAATTTAAGGTCTATAGCTCCGGCATACAGGGTTAGAGTTAAAATACATGTATTATTTACCTCTTAGAGATTCCAACTTCCACTCCTTTCATTTCCCATTATGTTTTTTGGAAATTGCATTTATGATTCTATACGTACTGGTTATCGTGTTTGACCTTGATGAAGACATGGATTTCCCTTGCACATTAGTAACCCGAAGTGAATGTCATAAAGTAGAAGTTCCTAGAGTCCTAGAGCAAAGCAAAAGCTCTTAGATTCAAGGATGTAGGTCTGCATATAATCAAGGATGTCGAACAACAATTGTTTGAATTATTAAATTTTCGATAGACCAATGGATGAATGTATGAGCAAATATTTCATCCTTTAGTAATATAGATAGAAAGGACAGTTCAGGAGCTTCGGTTCTTCGTTGTTGCATGTATTCTCCAACCTTGTTTGGACTTACTGGTTTGGTTGCAAAAAATTGTCAACCAGCTATCTGATTTCATTCTGCTTTCTGCTGTTCTACAGATAAAGGATACCTGTGTGCTTGTACGTTCAAGGCCCAGCCTGAGAGGATCTTGACAGCTACTTAATTGCCAGAGGTCTCGAGTGTTTTGAGGTCTATGTGTGTGTTATGCCTGAAAGAGACTATACTCTAGAAATGTGGAGATTGCTTAATCCAGATTCAAAATTGATCAAATCACAAAATTCTATTAATGTAGCTGCTCTGCTTTTAATCTTTTTGTCATCTATTTTAGGATATATATTATTAATATATGTTAAATTTGTAATCTTGAAACCTGTCGGCTCCACTTTGTGCTTCTGTTTCGTATATGACATTGTCTATAATCAATGGTGCTTTTTCAAGAGTCAATCTTGACCATGCAGGCAGTCCCCATTGGAAGCAAACCATGATGAAGGTTCACTTTGCCCCTTCTTCGGCATTCTGCAGATCCTGCTCTCTACCTTGCCAAGCATAAGCATAGAAGAGTATATATCAGTAGGCAGCCTCTAGGTGTAACATCAAGTAGTAATATCGTAGTGCATTAGTGATTAGTGCTAAATTTGCACTGGTCAAGGTTGTTTGCTCTAATAATAAGGTCGACCATTTATGCTTGGCAATGGATGAAGTTTTGGTCTTCATGTTTGTTGATCTCGACTGGGGCTACTGTTGGGCCCATGCTGATTCGACGGGATATTATTTTGTTTAGGTTGTAATGCACAGATAACCCTCTATGATACACCAAAAATTGTTGGGCCCATTCATTATACTGCAAAAATATTTGGTTATAAAATACATAAGACGTGAATCTTAATGAATCTGATTGTTCGTTTTACTTTTTATAAATTTTATTTTATTTTGTATTTTATCGTAGCGTTAGTACGGGCACGCTACTAGTTAATTAAAGTGGTAAAGTTGTGCTGTGTGGCACAGAGAGATGGCATTCCCTTTCTTCTTTTTTTTTTTTTTTGAGGGAAGCACAGAGAGATGGCAAATACCCGATTATCTCGTCCTGTCAAGTGCACGTTAGGCCCATGGAGTAGTATCCATCGCCGGCTTGCAGCCAATGGGCTGAGTTGGAATGGAAATTGAACGGGCCCAATTAATCGTTCCCTCCCCCCCAACTCATCGAAACCTCCGCTCGCACAATGCCGCCGCCGGCGGCGGTCCAACGGCGGGGCGGCTACCTCATCTTCCTCGGCAGCCAGAAATGAGGGCTTCATGCCAAAAGGTCGTCCACACAAGTGCAGCTGTGCCGCCGCGACCGACTGCGGTCCCGGTCAGAAAGAGGAGGCACGCTTTTATGCGTCGGTTTCCGCGCCTTCTTCAGATGCGTTCTCTTCTCTCCTTCATGGATTTTAGTTATGTGATGTTAGGAACTTGGATCTTGGCTTTCGGGTCGCTAATATGGAGGGGTAGGAGATCGTCCTTGTCCCGTCCGTCTGAACTTTGATTTGAACTTCATTGCCTGGATGACATGTTTGCAGATCGATGGCAGTGAACTGCTACATGGGAAATGCTTTAATTGTGAAAGTATGCTTTGATTGTGAAAGTGGGACACGATTAGGGATTGCTAAACCCCTCGTGTGGTCAATGTGCAATATAAGCTCGGATTCTGATAGTTTGTTGAAATTGTTTCTCTTGAAAAACTAGTACGCAGCAGTAGATCATGTGTGTTGTGCTTGATGGCAGGGAAGACTGGCTGCTGGAAAAAATTTCTTTCTAGCATCGCTGAAGAGGAGAATTTCTCCGTTTCACATTTTTGGAGGAAGACAAATATGTGCTGCAACCTCATGCTCGCATTTTTGGAGGACATGTTTTGCTCCAAAATCCTGTAATTTCCTCGAAACAATCTACCCACTTAAACATGTCTTCTCAAGAATTGCTGTGCTTCCATTGGGTAGGGATCTCATGTAACATACATTTAGTTTATATTTCCGAGAGCTTCATTTCTGGCAATACTTAGGCGAGGACGTGTATGATGTGGCCTTTTGTTTTTCATACTTTCTTGGGGATTGTCGAGCTTATCGGTGGAAGATCCTTTGATATCAGTTTAAATGTGCATGTTAATTTGCAGTTTTGCACAGGACCTTTAGACCTTTGTTTTTGTTGAAAATACAACAATATCTATTTTTTCCTAGAGCATTTACAGCAATACCAATACCATACATATGCTATTGTTTTTTTTGTACTTTTACTCTTGCAGCCTAGTAGTCTGGATGCAACTCACATTGGGATGTCCCATGGAAGCCTGGACCTCAATACTGACAGTATCAACTTCTAGCTCATGAGTTGATGAGGAAACAGAAGACAGTACAAGCATACCAAAGTGACCAAAGTAGGTGTTTTTTATGATTTTGTCATGTATTGATTATCACCGAAATCTCATGTCTATATGTCAATCCTTTCAGTTATCAGATCACAGAAATATTTTTTCCTTTTTTTTCATTATCCTATCCAAATCCAGTATCAGTTGATACCCACATGAGCATATTTCATCCTTGGAATGTTCCCGACTCTGCCATTTGAAATCACAAGTAATTATACTAATGTTTGTAGCGAGTATAATAACTTCTAGTATACCTATGAAGAACCTAGCTTTCACAAGAGTATATATTTTGCTAAATACCAGTTATTGATAGTTGAAAGCATTCAACAGCAATCATTTTTCTTCAAGAAAGACACATTTTTTTTTTTTTTGATAGGGTATGCAATTATTGTACA